CCTTATCCATGAATTGGTTGTCTTAGTTCCATTGCTTCTCATGATCCTGGCTTGAGTCTAGTACTCGCATTGAGAGAGGTATGGGACATCTTAGAAGACCAGTTGACCTCGTAAGTTGCTAAATGATTTGGGAAATTCACTACCGACGATCGGGGTTGCATGTTGCTATAACTTTCTGGAGAGCTGCATTGGTTTGAGTAAGGTTTGCTTAGGGACAAGGAAACGGTTAAGTGTGGGGGAATTTGATAGCACCATTTTTGCACATGTTTGCACACTTGTTTCTTAACCGTTTTGACTCCAATTTATGGTTTCTTGGCCAATTTTACACTAGGTTGTGTTATTTTGTCATATTTCAGGTCCTATTGAGTAAAGGGAGGCATAGGCGAGTTTCAAGTCAATCGTAGATCAATTGGCGATTCGGGAGAAGAAACTCGGCCATGACCTGAAGAAGAATGGATTTCTACCTCATTTATGGACAAAGAATCATGCAAGATTGTCATGAAAAGAAAGAGGACGAGACTACGAGCGTCTAGGATCAAACGACAACTGATTCTGAGTCTAGACGAGGGAGAAATGAAGCATTGAATATAGGGGAACAGGTTCAGCGGAAGAAACACGGGCAGACTACCCTAAAAACACGGCCGTGTTGCATCTGGCAGACTGCTGAAGGGATTTAAAACACGGGCGAGACCAAAACACAGGAAGGACTAAACACGACCGTGTTCCCGGCCGAGTTTCTACCCTCTGCTCGGGTATAAGTCTATTTTCTGCGATTTTTGAGAGGAGAGAGCTGGGTTTTCGATCCCAAACACCACCCAAGGGACGAACCCTAGAGAGAGAGAGAGAGAATTGGGAACATTCTTGGAGCTATTTTGGAGGATGTCTTCCCCATTGGAGCTCGAGAATCAAGCTTGGAGATGGATATTGAAGATCTAGATCAGATTTCTGCAGTCTCTCTCTTCTCTATGGAGTAACTTCCCTTCACTTAGGTTTTGAGGAACCCTAGTTCCATGTGTTAGGATCTTTCTTGTATGAAGTTTTGAATGCTATATTGTGTGATTATAATCGATTGAGGCATGATTTATTGAGTCAATTGAATCCTAATCAAATTCTCTTGATTTCCGCTTTAATCTATGATAGATAGAATCTGATTAGGTTAAGAGAGCTTTCTTGATTGATAGTAGTGAATTGATTATATGAGCATTAGTCGATTCACTGCTTTGTACTGGAATCCAATTCCAGTAGTGGAGTTCTGTGTTATTTGCCTCAACATTCTATCCTGGTGAAGGCTAGTCACCTACCGGTTAGTCTGCACCTAATATATAGTTAGCTTACAACAAACCCTTAACATAAATATTAAATACATACAAATACCACTCATTAGGGAGTTAAAGCTTTCCTACAAAATACTTAAACTGTACATAGATTGAGGTGGCTGTCATGGTATTGTATGCATTCCTAAAGTTTAGTAGTTGTCGAAAATGTTTTGGTTTAGTAAATAGGCAGACCCATTTAATTTTTGACCCATAATGTTTTGGTTTGTTGTGCACATGGAAATAAAATAGGGAATCACGAAAGTTTCATTTGCTTGGTTGCATGGAAGTATAAATAATTTTCTATATTAGGTGTATCATTAATTGGTTAATTGGTTCCATTGGTTACCAGTGCTGAAACCAAACCATCTAAACCAAATAAGCTAAATTGTTTAACCAAACCAAATCACTTATCCATATTAACCAAACCAAATTAATCGAATGATACCGGTTATTATGGTTACCACAGTAACTAATCCATTTGAACACCCCCTGGCCCAAACATTTGAAGTGAACACTAAATAAAAATTGCAAGACATGTTTGACAAAAAGAGAGAAACTCGAAAACATGAGTTCTCAGTCTAAAATAAGAGGGAAATTTCTCAAAATACTTAAATTACTCAAACAAATTTTCTTAATATTACACTTGCATAGATATTTTCAACAAGAGTTTGGGGCAGTTCTCTAGAGATTCAAGCAAACTGAATAGTTGTTTGCTGGTGTTGGAGGCAATCAAGTTGTAGTTCGGTGACATGTTAAGCGATCCACCCAATTCCTATCGAGAAACGCGGTTGGTGGAGACTCGTTGAACTCGGCAAAGAAAGGTGAAAGCTGAAATGGAATTAGGGAAACAACTTCATCATCAACGTTAACATCTATGTTACACAACTAACAAGATAAAATTAAGTTGTTCTAGATGTTCATTCAAAGGCGCACCTTCTTGCATACTCAAGCTAAACAAACTTTGCTTGAGATGCAACTTGTTGGTTAAGGACCTCGTCATATACAGACTTTTTGGCTTTAACCACAAGCTCGTGACAGTATTATCAGCAACGACTTCAATGATGACATGATCAGACAATGATAGTTTAACACCCTGAAATTTGGGTTCGAGTTCGACTATAGTAAACGAACGATTGAATAGACGATTACATACGAAGGATTGCGGATTAAAAATAATAAATAATAATCATTACTATAATTATTTTTTATTTTTTTATTATTATTAACAAAAAAAAAAGAGACGGGAGAACGGGGAAACCCCCCACCCCACGTCAACCCCATCCCCCAAATAAATCTCACCCAAATACACCCCTCCCCCCCCGTTACACCCACCCCACCTGTATCTCACGGGTTTTCTGTCCTTCCAATTAATCCCATTATATTATTTCCCCCATCAAAATCACCCCCTTAATTAGGGGCGGGAATACGATCACGGTTTTCCGGTCAAACCGAAAACCAAACTGTATGAACCGGGCGCTTGTAACCAAAAACATGATGCAATCCCGTCTGGTTTAGATTCCGCTTATATGATATAAGGGAAAAATCAGACCTAGTTGAATCCGGTTAAAACTGGACAAAACCGGAACGGGGCATGTTCATTAAGCCAGCTAAGAGCCCACCCCAAAGCCTAATCCCAACCAAGTTGAGCTCCCACCCCTATGCCCACTTCAACTTAGCGCTCCCCCAACCCTAAGATCCCGTTCGCCTCTCATCCCACCCACCTAAGTCGAAGACTACCCCTCTCAATCTCGATCTGCAAATAATCCCAAGAGTCCCAACCCTCCCTCTCTGTTCTCTAATCAAAATCTCTGTTCTCTCTCTCTTTAAGTACCCCAGTCCATGACCCGATCAACCTGAAGAAAAAGATAAAGTAGGGCGGCTACCCAAGACAACACCACCGCCGCAAGAAACTCTACCATAGTGTGTTAGGGCAATGCTATCCCTCCGGCGGCCTACTCCTTTCACCGATGAAAGATTCGTCGAAGCTGCATGCCTCCCCTAGCAAAGAGATTGAAGGTCGAGAAGAGGAAGTGATTCGGGGCTAATTGAACACATTTATCCCTCATTTAATTTCTTGATAGTTTTCCTGTGCATTTCATCGTTCCTCAACATATTTCACGCTAGGTTTGGCTATGTTTTATACATTTCAGGTCCTAGCATGTGTGGGAAGGTCGATGACGAGTTTCGGGACTACTGGAGTCGATAAAGCGCCCAAAAGTGAAGTAAAGTGAAGAACAGTCCAATGTCACGGGCAGAGGTCAAATGTCAAGGTCAACAAACCTTGACAATTGATCACTAGACTTGAGAATCCAAGGTCCCATGGTGGGGTCCAATGACACGGTTATATGACCGTTACAAATGCTCTTTGGGCGTGACATTGACAAGTTCTAGAGCCATTTTCATTATCACTGGACCTCGGTGTGTTCACGGTCTGTTGACCGTGAAAATTTGCTGTTGACCATGAAGATGGACCAAAATGATACCACTGACATGTGTTTTGGTCCAATGTCAAGGTCAAGGCTCCAATGTCACGGTCGTGACTTCTGATCGTGAAAAGTGATTATCAGGCTCTATAAATAGAAGATTGTTGGGAGAGAGAAATGAGAGCTTTTTCTAGGGTTTTAGTTTCAGAATAGAGGAGGTTTTCTAGTGAGAGATTAGGGTTTCCTCTTTTTATTCTAGAGAGAGAAAGTGTCATTCAAAGGAGGAAGAAGGAGATTGGGCTCATTTCAAACTAGACGAGTGAAGATTTCTTCTTCTCAAGGGAGATTCAAGCAACCAGGAGGAAAGATTTTCATATCTTCATGGTTCTTTCTCATTTTCCTTGCTTTCATTTGCCTAGCTATGGAATAGCCTACATATTCACTTGGGTATTTGTAAACCCTAGCTACAATTATGTGAATGTTTGTATAGATTGAATGATTTGTGTGTGGTTGTGTCTAATGTGAATGTGGATGTATTTTCATGAATGATTGAGTTGTGTGAAAACCTATAATCTAATTGCCATTCTAACCTAGGGGTGTGGATAGTATAACAACACCTTAAGTGTTGTTATACTAACAACAAGAATATAACTGTAAAATGACAATAAAAATTCAATAAAAAATATATTCATAATACCTACCAATTCGTGTATCTCCTTCAACCTCCGATTATGGCTTCCCAGCAACTCCGTCGTTCTTTCCCCTGCCCAAAGCTTCGCGACGATGCCGCCGTCAGCTGCTTAGGACTTTGTTCCTCCTCCACCGTCGCTGTCTTCACACTCGAAAAAACCTCGATCCTCCTCGGCCGTCAATTTCCTACTCTCCTCTCTAGATCAACAGTACTCTTCAACAACTCTCTCTAATATCTCGGTCAGATCTATCTTTCTCACCGCCATCGCTTCGCTTCTTCCTCCCCGCCACATGCTTCTTCCCCGCCGCTCTGACTCTAGCTACTGTCACCGCTTCAATGTGGTGGAACATAGGAGATCAAAACCGTTTTTTCTCTTCAATTCCGAAATAAGAAGGAAATATGAGCAGCGGAGGAGGATGAATCACATATTCCCCTCTTCTTCTTCTTCTTCTAAAATGAGATATGGGCGGCGACGGAGTTTCTACTTCTTCTCCCCTCCATCTGGCTGCCATCGTTCACTTGTAATTGTCTGTCTTCTGATTGCATTGCGGCATGCTGCTGCTCCCTCGCTCATCGGGATCCGAACGAATCCTGGTCGTCGCCGAAGAGAAGGCGGCGAGAAGGTAAATCGAGATCCAAACGAATCCTGGTGCGTCGTTGCTGGTCGTCGTCGAAGAGAAGCCGCCCTAAATTAATTCCCACGACGAGTGAAGAGGACTGAAGAGAGAGAATGGATTCGAAAACGTATTGAGAAGGGAATTCAGGGGAGATGAAGTTGAGGAGGATGGGAAGGTTGATGACGTTGCTTCTGGAAGAGAGCAATTGTTGGCCAAGGGCTTTGAGCTCCTTCAGAGAATGCTTGGACTTGGATTTCCTGGACTTCTGGTTCCTGCTCGCCGGTGAAGCCATCTTCGCGGCGACTGTTGGGGAGAAGAATGAATTTGCCGGAGACATGACTTGGCAACACCGTAGGCAGTAGCAAAAACCAGCAATGAGGTTTTTTAATAGTTTTGTATGTGCTTTTGTTTTCATATTTTCCTTCGACTAACAACATATTGAAGTAAGAAAGCCTGTGAAAGGGAGGCCTCTCGATAATCTCGGATCAGTAGCTGAAGCATGTTAGAAATACTACAAAGCAAAGCACGCATAATTAAACAGCACACTAGAAACCTCCTAATACAAATCATAAATGCGATAAAACATACCAGAAATCTAACAAAGCAAACCATATAATTTTTAAAAGCGTACACCAAAAACTACATAATGCAAACCACATAAAACAAACCAGATTCTTCCTAATGCAGAACACAAATCTATTAAAACAAACCAGAAACCTCACAAACCAAACCACATAATTTTCAAAAGCACACCAGAAACCTTCTAATGCAAACCACAAAAGTAAACCAGAAACCTTCTAATGCAAACCACAAATCTATTAAAACAAACCAAAAACCTCGCAAAGCAAACCACAAAAGTTTCAAAAGCACACCAGAAACCTTCTAATGCAAACCACAAATATATTAAAACAAACCAGAAACCTCACAATGCAAACCACAAAATTTTTGAAAGCAAACCAGAAACTTCTTAATGCAAACCACAAACACGATAAATCAAACCACAAAACGCATACAAAAATATGAGAAACCAAACCTTAAATCTCACAATGCATACCATAACATCTGGTGATCGTTGACCGTTGACCAAACTCCGATGACCGTCAGTGAGCAGATTCCGACGCTGATAGGCATATTCCGACCCCGATGACTAGATTCCGAAGTCGGTAAGCATATTCCGACTATAGTGAGCATATTCCTTCGATGATGAGCATATTCCGTCGACAAAATAGCATATTCCGGCGACAAAAAAGCATATTCCGGTGACCGGTGGCCGAATTTCGGCGACCCAAATTTTGGGTTAAAAAATATTTTTTAATTTTCTATTATTATTTAAAATTATTTTTCATAATGATAATTATACCCCTGCTTTGATTTTACACTAGGTCAACTCAGCTAATAAAAAGTCATCACAACCCTAGCTTCTTATTGGTTGGAGACTAGTAGTGTTACAATAACACAAGGGGGGGTGTCACACTATCTAGTCCCCTAACCTAGGTAGAGAGAAAACCCCCTTCCTTTATTTGAAAGAGGCTTGAATGTTGGGCTTACTTAGGCAATTCATTGTCTCTTATCTAGGTTAATGTAGGGCAAGCCTCTTATTTCGTATTAGCACCTAGGTTTGGTTGTGAGTGGCCGTCCGAACTCCGATTCGAGAGTGAAGTCTTGGCAACCCAAAGTCAATCGGTCGAGAGAGTCACATTGGTGGCTTGAATCGAATTCCCTTCCCTCGGCCTAGAGACCGAGAGAGTGGTGTTTGGCTACTTGTTGCACTTCCCTACGGTTTACAACCACCTTACCACACATGACCATTCGATCCAACAAGTCATAATTGTTAGCTAGAGGGAGCAATACCCGTGTGAAATCTTCTCTTATGGGGACAACCTCGATTTACTTTACTTGCTTGTTTACATTTGTAGGTTTCTTAGTTTTAAAACAAAAAAACGTTTGCTAGATAACAAACTAAGCGATTGAAGTAAGGGTATATGGCCTAGGTTTGACAATTAAAACATACTTACCCTATACTGCACCCGGCTAGAGTTTTATGTTTGAGCTCTACTCGGGATTTAAATCACGGTGTATCCGTGGCAAGTCAAGTTTTTGGCGCCGTTGTCGGGGATCCTCGGTCCATTATTTTGAAAAGGTCGCTTAGTATTACTCTAGCATTTTCTATCTTGCCTTTTTGTTTTTGTTTTGTGTTTCATGTGTGTTTTGTTTACCACTCTTCGTCTTGAAGGGTGGTTTGTGTGTGTTTGATTATTTTTAGTGTTTTTGTGTTTGTAGGTATTGGATCATGAATCCTTATGATTTCACCGAAGTGTGGGGGTATCCACCACCACCCGCGAGTGGTTACCCCGAAACTTTTTGGGACGATCAAAATGGGGAAGTCAAGGATCCGGGTTCTACTACCAACCCCCTTCCAAGAAGAGCAACCATGCTCATGGGGATACCAAGAAGCTTCCCCATATCAAGCGGATTTCCCTCCGAACCTCGAGGTGAAATCCAAGTTGGAGTTGGTCATGGAGGCTTTCATGGGACAAACATAAATTCCATGTGACACTCCACAACCGAAACCAAAGGGTGAATTAGAGCTCATGGTGGAGTGATTTGCCCGGGGCACCGATGAAGGGTGCTCTAGCAAGGTCCTCCCAATTGCCGCCCCTTTTGACTCAACCTTTCTACGGGAATTGGAGGAGCTCCTTCGACACACGGAGAGGCTAGGAGGTCTTGGTGAGAAAGCATGTGCACAATTTGCTCACAATCGCCTCCTACCATTGGAAGGAAGAAAGAAAGTTAGAGAGACGAGCCATGAGAATTTTGAAAGAACGAGCTCCAGCATAGATTTCCAACCCATCCCTTCTCCTGATTTGACATTAGAAGAGAAGGTGACACAAGCTTGTGCACGCCATCGCCTCTCACAATTGGAAGAGAAAGGGGAGGTTGAAGGGGCAATCAATGACAACCATGTGGAGCAAGAGGAACTCAACTCAGAGAGCTCCCGTGGTGAGGATGAACAAGAAGGTTGCGTTGATGACTCTCGTCACTTTCCCCTTCCCGAGAGCAACTTTGAAGACCAAGTCACGAGTGTAGAGGAGCAAGAGAATCGCTTCTATGATATTGCATGTCATCTTGCCTTCCAAACCGTGCTTGAAGACACAAATGGGAAGGAGAAGGGGGAGGTTGAAGAGGAGCAAAGGATCCTTGAAGAAGAGGGAGATCTTGATTGTTCCTAAAGGGAGGAACAAAGTGAAGAAGAAGGAAGAGAGGTTGAGAAAGAAGTAGAAGGAGCAAGTGAGGTCCAAGATGATGACAAAGTCGTTGTGGATGAAGCATCCACAAGTTACAAGTGCTATGAAAGCTCTCGACCCGACCTTGATGCGCTTTTGGAGAAGGACCCATTTGCAGCTCTTTGCCAAGCCAAGGCCAAGCCATCGGCGATCCCTCTTGGCGGATGCGATGGAAGTCAATCAATGATGGACTACATGGTGTGGGTCAAAGAGAAAGAAGAAGAGGTGTCGTGGGTGGAGCCTCAAAGGCGATCAAGTTCACGAGCCCTCAATCATGGATTCGTCCAATGCAAGTGGCTTGAGACTTCATCTCACCGACGAGAACCTCAACTTCAAGGAGGTTCTCGGATGGACTGAAACTTGAGGATGTTAAACATTCATAGATCATATTTATTAATTTTATGTGACTTGATTTAAAAATTATATATGCTAAATTTTAATAGAAAAGGAGGTTATTTAAAGGGTGATTGATGGTTATAGGATTTTATGATATTTATTTGGAGTTTTAAGTGGAAAATATATTTTGAGAAACTTATGAGGATTTTATGATATTTATTTTAAGAATTATTGAATTATTTAAAATGATTTAAGTCTTGATTAAAGGGTCGAAAAATTCTTGTTTTGAGGAAATGATTTAAAAGAGATTAATGGTCATTTTTAAAGGATTTTGAGACTAAGTAACAAGTAGGGAAATTTTCCCAACACGTTAAAGGGGCTAAATCTGAAGATTACCGACTAAGAGAACATAATTTCAGTTTATAGAATTAAGGAAGCAATCGAATTAAGGATTTCACGTCAAGGGAACTAAGGGTCGTCATTTGAGAGGTGAGTGGTTTAACGGGGTAAATTTTGCACCTTACGTATTTTCAAATTTTTGCCTTACAAAATTTAAGTATGTGCTTTATCTTATGTTTATTGAACTTTGTCTGATCTTTAAGGATCAACATTTAAGAGGTATTTCACTCCTAATTTAATTAGTGTGAAAATGTTTAAAGGTAATTCGCTAACGCTAGTCCCCCGCCCTAGTGAAAGTTTAAAGAAAGAGCAAGTTTGCTCTTAAGGAACATGAGGATGAATCACTTAGACATCACATGAAGTTTAAAGGAAGAGTATGATATACTCTTAAGGTTTATGGGGATGAATCGATTAGACTCGCATAAAAAGGTTTAAGGAAAGGCCTATGTTGTCCCTCATACGTATGAGCTGGGCGAATGGAATAGTTAGTGAGGAGATTCCAGTGTCGGTCAAAGGTTTAATGTTTTTGAGAGTGGCAAGTAACAGTAACTCACACGTTTTAAGAGTTAAAGTTTAAAGGGTGGAAGTATAATCAACTTCCACCGGTTTTTGAGGAACACTTAAGGGAATACCCGTAAGTGCTTCAAGTTTAAGTAATGGCGTAGACTGACCCCAACCCACTCACCATATTGTAGAGGAGGAGCTAGGGAGCATCCAGTCGAGTGGCATCCAATGAGAGAGCAGGCTACCAGAGGAAGACCACGTGAGCACTTCTGAAGATGTCTGATCACGGATCTGAGTAAGTGGACATTTGAGACTTGTAGTCTATTTACTTTATGATTATGAGTAATGACTTGAGATTTAAAAGACTAACACTTTATGGATTGAGGTTTACCCAATTTTTTGGACTTTGCTTTTGAGTTATAACAGTTTATTTATCAGTATTAGTATTTTGAGCACATTATTATTTCCTTTCTTTCAAAATTTTTAATATGCTCCGGAGCAAAACTATTATTCGAATGTTTTAGATATCGGGATGTTACAGAAAGCATGATAGTCGATTTGGCCTTCTCCTCCAGGGTACTCCACTCATCATCATCGACCCCTATCTTTTTATGTTCCAATACAGCGGCCCTAAAACCCTTGATGTTTCAATAGTGTCTGCATCTTGATCTGTCATATACCGAAACTGTTCTTGCAAACTTTTCGATCTTCATATTCACTGACGTCATTCTTCAATCTCCAAACCGTAGCCTGAATTCCAACGCGACAC